TACGTATGCCAGATTTCTGTTTTTAAACTGTGATAGATCCCGTAGCTCTATGTTCGATGTACAACTACAAAATTAAAAAAGACATCCAAATGAAATTGTTAGGTCGAAATTCGATTGTAGGTCGCACCAAAGAGCTACGGAACCGCAGCTACACATGTACATGTTACTTGAAAACAAGTGGCTAGGACATCGGACTTGATTTTATTTCACACAATGCCGGTGTAGCTAGCACTCGCAACAACATACAAATCGCCACTAGCAACTGCTATTTTTAGCGCTAGCAACTGCCATTTTCGAGCGCTAGCAACTGCCATTTTAGAGCGCTAGCAACTGCCATTTTAGAGCGCTCGCAACTGCCATTTTAGAGCGCTCGCAACTGCCATTTTAGAGCGCTAGCAACTGCCACTTTCGAGCGCTCGCAACTGACACATTTTGCTACTTGCGACTCGCAACTCACCACTCGCAACTGACGTATTTATGTACCCTTACATACCTCAAGCCTTGCAATTTCAAGATGGCGTTAATGTTACCAGCTCCCTGGTGTTACACCGTAATAAGGCACCCAACACCAACGTGCATGTGTTTTGTAACCCCTCTCATCCCCTCCGGGGATGTTATACATGTTAATAAATCAATGTTAAATACTTGCTGATTACCGAACCGTACGGCATGTCGTCGGTAAATACTTGTTTACCGTAGTTAGCGAGCAAGCGAGCAGTCGGCGAAATAACCATATAAAACTGAACATTTCTATAAGGCATGCTGTGTACCCTTATATCGATCGACCTTTGAGATTCACGCTTTTCGATAAACCAACCAATGGGAATCGTGCTCTTCGCAGAGTGACATTGCGATCCTGTCGCAGAGTGCAATAATCGAGATTCGGAGAGTCGCACAATCGCGTCGCAGAGTTAGTTTTTAGACCCACATACATACCTCTAATTTGTATAAGGTGAGTAGTGTTAATGACAAAGAGGCCATGTTTGTGAACTGGTAACATGACAAACCGGACCATATAATGGTAATTTGTACAAGGTTAGTGCTGTTAATGAGGCAGATTCTTCGTTTGTGAACACAACTGGCTTAATAGTACTATTTATAGAGAATAAAGAATGAATTTGGTTGTTCATCAATAATGTCAATATTAACACATATATTACAAATTTGCCTAATTTAGGATCAAATTTGAGATTTTATATTTATAACTGGGAGTGCTTACATTTATAAATGATTTAAAGAATAATAGTATTTGTTTTTCAGTGGTATCAACTAAAACCAGTTAAATTGATGTTAGACAAGTACATAGCGTGGAGAAAAGTGTTTCCGTCACCGGATTTCTACGTTATACATCCAAGATCTCTATGGTTTGCGTGGGATGCTCTCGAGTACTTCAATAAAGGAAACCCTATCAAAAAGATCGTGCCGTCATCTGGATTCACAGGCGAGTTTATTATTTATAAATTATTGATGTTTTACTTTTGCAATGGATGCATAAACCTGCACTGATATAACTGCAGGTTAGTGTGAATATTATATCAATTTTCAGATTATGTTTATATCTCCAAAATTGTGCTTTTTTTTTTCTTCTCGCATATAAAAAAAGTATTCCTTGTAGTCTAATTGTGACAAATTATAATTTTTTTTAAGAAACCTGTATGAATATATAGTATGGTGCTGGGAATGTTAGATTTTGAACTTATATATTAGGTTAGAAGTGAAGTAAAAAAAAGTCCAATTCAGCGTGCGTGTCAATTTTGAATT